TGTTGAAATATCACATGATGCATTTTACCATTTTATCTCTCCCTCCGCAGTTTCCTATAATTTTGTCTCTTCTGATCTGCAGTATTGTAAATTATTCAACTTACCTATTCAGCTATATGAGCTAAAATCTTTTTTCCCTTTCTGAAAGCCTTATAAAAATCTATTCTACATCAATTTTGTTACTACTGTAATATCCATGAATATAATTTAACAAGATGCTTCAAGATTGGACACCTATTAAAGAAACTTTCCAATACATGCTTTTATTATTGTTTAATACTTATACAATACCAATTGTATTAGAAATATCATATTCCAGTTGTTCACAGTTCACAATTGAATAGTGCAGCATCTAAGAGTTTACTTTCTAAATACATGCCAGAAAACCAAGAAAGTTTCAATTAAAAAAAAACCCAGCCTAAATAAATACCTTATACAGTACATTAATCAACTGTGAACCAGAATAAAAATATGTTCATACTCTTAGTTGAAAGCAACTGAAGTTGCTGGGGGAGGAGATAGAGTCTACAAATTCTTGCTTCCAGTACCAGCAATCTAAGTAAGATTAAGAAACAGTATAAGCAAATTTCAAAATCATACCTTAAGTGACTGAAGTGCTGTAACTCTAGCAGCCTACTACTACTGCCCTTTCCAGATGGAGGCCTCCCATTGGCTTGCAGCTTCAGTTTTCTCTGCCTTCTGTGAAGCTGTTGTAAGGCCCGAGTAATGCAGTGGCTTTCTGCACGCTCCCAGATTAGCTGGGCTCGTTCTTCTGCTTGCATATCCCCACTGCTACGGAAGAGACGACGTAATTGCAGTAACCCCACCCCCTGGAAAATATTGGCAGATGCTCTCTTTCTGATACATGATTTAACAATTTGATTCTGTGGCAAGTCACAGGTAACAGAGGCTGGGGTTCCCATGGTGCTAGGATCTCTCCATATTGTAGCTAGTGGTGGTTCTGTAGAAAAGATGAAACCAGGAAGAAGCAGATTGGTTAACTGTTCCCTTCCTTCCTATGGTATCATAACCTGGGTCCAAGTGGAAACAAAATGCATAGATGTTTTAATAGCCTTAATCTGAGGTACCTATAGGTCAGAATTAAGTTTCCTTATAACACAGTTGATCCTAATTCCTCCCAGAAGATATGATTCCTCATAGAACAGACAGGAATTATTTAAGTCATTAAGTCTTAACTCTCTACTCTGCAAAAATCCAAATTAAAATATCCTGACAGACTCCTTTCTCTACAATTGTGGTTATTCAGTTATGCAATATTTCAGAGTGTTAATTCAGAACTTTTCATTGTCTTAGGGCACTGGCATTATTCAGATGCCGCAGCTTAATGTGAAAACAGTGTATGGAAATTCATATATACAGTAGTAGTAGCCAGAATATGTATTGTCAAGACAGGGCTTGCACATTTACTCAATCAGCAGGAAATACCAGCTCCAGGTTATTCCACCTAAACTGAGATGAGTACCAGGGTGGATCCATTTGGGGTGGGAAGTTTTCTCAGTCAACAGCAGGCCAATTTTTCTCATCAGCCTTTCAAGTTCTGACATGCCTTGTGTTTGACAAAGCCTAGTAACAACAGCTACGATTTCCCAACCAAATGTCCCAAAAAGTACCTAAGAAATTTGAGCAACACAAACGATGGACCATCAGCAATTAGAACTGGAGTCGTATTTGCTAAACTGGCAGATTATGTCAATGAGCCACTTCGATTAATCCGCGAATCTGGTTTAAAGGGGGGGGGGAGAGCGAGAGGGCTAACACTAATGTCTCAGTTTTCATAAGGTAAAAACTGCATCCTTTTACAATACATAACACCTATTTGTTCTACAATACCGGAGTTTGCGGACGCTAGTATTTAGAAGGGTCCTGAATTCCAGAGAGACCTAGGTTTGAATACATACTAACGGGTAGCCTTTCAATCGAATGGGCCTTAACTGAATTATCTCCGATATTCGCAACTGTCAGCTACTATTAATATTATATAAGTACTCCCTTCGAGTCATTAAATCCACTGAGTAATTTAGGGCAAGTTCCTCGTTTCAGAGAACCCGCCCCCCGCCCCCACACGATCACTTTGGATTTTTGGAAGATAAGCAGCAGGAGGATGTCAAGGCGGCATGCTACCTAACTAAAATGAACTTCATCAAAAGGAATTTGTCTGAATTGTTGCTAGAAAATCTTCGAACGTCTTTTGAACAGCATAAGGAATCACCTTTCTCCCCGCCCTTCTCCATCCCATCCAGAATTTTAGGACGGCAATCGAGGCTGAAGCCGAGACCTTCCAGCTCTGCAGGCACTCACGGACCTGGCGTCTGCCGTCCTGCTTGGCGTCGCCGGCCCCTCAAAGGCTCTCGAAGATCCAGCAGAGCCTCTCAAACCGACCTCCGGCCATTCATACTCGGCTCCTGAGAAGATACGTCTGGCCAATGGAGAGAAATGACAACATACTTCTCACCCAATCCGTTCCGCTGCCTCTTCTCCAAATGCAGAAGAGAATACTGTAATCTAGCGAATCAATTGAGGACGAGGGAGGGACTGTGAGGACTCTTTTGGGAACACGTGGCAGGCAGGATTATTGACGTCAGGAAGAAGGGAGTTAGGCTGCAGGGTGAGAGGATGTTGTAGTCTGGTTGATCGCTTTCGGCGGGGCGTGTGTTTTTGTGTTCTGCTCCTGCACAGACCGTCTCACTTCAGGTCAAATACGGGCAGCCAGCCAATATAAAAAGACGGCCTGTAACTGTATAGTGTCAAAGTCATGAGCGATTTTTATTTATTCATTCATTAAATTTATATGCCGCCCATCTCGGTATCGAAAACAACTTGGCACAGTTTACAATTTTTCTTCCCACCGCTTCTCGGTTTCCTTGAGGTTTCTGTCCATTGGCTTGTGTTAAAGTCCTTCTGCTATTTTCACACAACAGTGTTAACTTCAGAACACCACCAGGTTCTCTTACAGCCTGTCAGAAAAGCAATCTGGCTAACCTAGCACCATGATCTTGATTCTTCCCATATTGACAGAAGAGAATATATGTATGTAGCTCAGGGTTGAACTGTGGGGTCCTTAGTGCTCTCTTAGTTTGGTAATTTCCTTGCAGACGTTTCATTACCCAGTTAGGTAATATCAGTGCTAGTAGGGAGTGAGGTTTGTTCTTATTTTTATATACTAGTGGCTTGTCCTGTTAGTGTTGCTGGGAGTAATCTTGTGGTTCCTTGATTAGGCTATTTACTATTAGCTTGTTTGTATTTCTAGTTGTCTGAATGACAGGCTTCCAGAAATTTTTTGGACTATTTGATTTGATATATGATGTTTTTGTACCTATATGTGGAAACTACCATGAATAAGTGACTTAACAGTAAAAACTGAAAGCTCAGCTTAAGGACAGTTTTTATTGTTAAGTCACTTACTCTTGGTATTTTCCACATATAGGTATGAAAACATATATCAAATCAAATAGTCCAAAAATTCCTGGAAGCCTGTCATTCAGCAAGTCAACCATCAACAGACACATAGAGATAAACAACATCTACATACCACTCAAAAGAAACATTCAAAAAACCAAAAAGGAAACAAAAACAACAAAACATAGATTCTATGTAGTCATTAAGAGTCAGCACAGATTTGATCACACGTATCAAAATTATCTTTGATATTTAACTATATGCAGCACATGAGAATTTCTTTGTTGCAACAGCATATAAAAACCAAAATTAAGTTACAATGATACAAAGAATAAGCTCTTTTATGTCAATGAAAGGTTCAGTTGTGGAAATTAATTAAAAGTGAACTAGTCTGAAACAGAATTTAAAATACATCATAGTAGACAGATTATGAAATTTACAGCAAAAAAGGAGTTTAGTTGGACTGGGATTCATCTGGGATTCATTTTATTTATTAAACTTCTATGCTACCCATCTCACCAAAGTGAATCTAGGCGACTTAAAGTTATTCAATAAAAATATCATATAAACATTAAAACAATAAAGACCATACATTTAAAATGTAATTGTCCAAGCTGAAATGAAGGGAGCAAAATTTGCATGGGGAGGAGGTGGGATTTGTCTTAACCCATTAACAACCTCCAGGATGCCACTCCCCCATTGGGGCTCCAGGCAGTTGGCAGAGCCAAGCCTCCAAGCCTTTTTTTTTCAGGGCCAAAAGGGTGAGGTGTGGATTTCACCTGGGCAGGCATGATATTCCAGAGGCACCATAGCAGAAAAGGAGGTTCTCCTGGATCTTGCCAGCTGAAATTCCTTGATCAAAATTTGAAGTTGCTATACAGAGCATTTATTTTCCTGACTTAAAGGTAACTTGCATTGGACTATAAATCCAAAATTTACTCCAGTCATTGCAGTTACAGTATGCCTTGGTGGACAGCTCCAAGTCCCTCATGCTACAGCTTCTTAATTCAACAAAAAGGGAGTGGTTTTCAAATTATTTATGGATGTGATTAGATCAGCTTTAGTTTGAGACTGATAAAAGTTTTGCTTACAGCAAAAAGAAGGGAAGGCTTAAAAGATCTTCTAAGGATTATGCTTGTTCAAAATCAAAAGTTGCCTCTTTGCAATCTAAAGAAGAATGCAACAGAATTTAAATGCCAGAGCAACAAATGAAGAAACTATTTGTACATTTAACTTTACATCTTCAAATTCTTTGTTCTAGGGAGTTTAATGAGTGACTATCACTTGGCCCTTCTCCATGCAGAAGGGAGGAACTGAACTTGATGTCTGCAAAGTCCATGTTTTCTTTAGTAAATCTTTTTGGTTTGGCAGAGCTTTGTTGGCCCAAGTAGTAATAGAGCTAAGGAAACTATAATTCTAAAAAAGGCAGCTTTCAGATTTTTTTTTTTTAAGTTCTTGGCTAGAGCTACCAGAGCAATGGAGAGAGGGAGGGAGTTGTTAGTAAGAGGAAGGAGAAATGAAATAAGTTCCAAAAAAGGAGGGGTAAGGGTGGGAAAGGGAGAGCTAGAACAGGAAATTGAGAGGCCCTAGTGTAGGAACAACTGCTAAGCTGCAGATGTTTGGCAGCTGCAGACAGAGGAAGTGCCTAAGAGGGGAGTGAGATTTGCTCGGCTGAAGAAGGCACCAGAGGAGACAAGAGCTGCGGAGGACCTAGTGGTATAACATGCCTCTTCCACCACCCCCTTCCTCACCTCCACCCCCGTGTCCAGCATCTAGAGAATCTCTGAGCCTGAATAGGCCCTTCCTACGAAGCCTGTTAGGAGGGCTGCGTATAGTACAGCTGCTGTTGGGTGCTGTCTGCTGGGTAACTTTAGCGGCGCACAAGTATGAAGGCGCAACCTACTTTGCAGTTTTTGCAGCAGTCCTGGTGTGGCTTCTTACCTTGGCTCTCTTTGGGCTCAGTTTATTGGGCCGATGGACTCTGATGCCTGTGCTGGGGACCCGCTGGCTCCTAACAAACATTCTGCATGACTTATTGCTTGGAGTGATTTTCTTCACGGCTGCTGCAGGCATCATAGGCTACAAGGCGCGGAGCATCAGCTATTGTACCCTGAAAGGTTACAGCCAGCCCTGCAGTTACACTGCCTACTTAACCGCTGCTGTCTTTGCTGGTATAACTGCCTTCCTGTACTTGCTCTCTGGACTCTACTGCTTGGTACGGCGTTTCCAGGGGCACCATGATATCATCTGATAGATGCAAGAAGTTCAAGAAGTACGAACAGACTTTATTCAAATAGATGGATAAGCCTAGCATACAATTAGCCTATAGATATCTTGCTCCAGATGCTTTGTCTCCTTCCTAAGGAAAACCCGATGCATTCCCTCTTTTTTCTGACAATTATGAATGCTCTTACCTCCAGATGTCTGATCTTTTCATCCACAGTTGGATGTATACTGTCATGACCCAGAAGCTAAAAGTGATGCATTTTAGTAGGAACACCTGGGAACCAGATTGTGGATTGCTTTTTCTCTCTCTTTCTCTTGTCTTCTTTCATTTTGGCAGGAAGATTTTGGTGGGTCTGGGAAGTTTTGACCTGATCTATACTTCCAATATATCTGATTGCTAAAGGAAGAATTCAGTATTATCACCTTCTGTTATACAATATTGGTTTTCATTATTCATGCTATTCTGTTTTGATTCTTAGAAATGAAATGTTCAGATTTTATATCCTATGGGCTTCTTGAGGTTTTTTTTGCTGTTGTTTTACCCAGGAACATTCTGTTTTAAACAGATATTTATATATAATTATTTACTGTAAACTTTTAAACTTTTGAATACACCCCTGATAGCATTTGTAGCATGATTATGGTAACAGGTTTTTCAGAAAACAGGGATGAAGCAGTGGTGGGATTCAGCCAGTTCGCACCAGTTTGGCAGAACCGGTAGCTAATTTTTTGTCGCCCAGGCCCAGAATGGACTTCGGGAAGCAGCATCCACACAGAGAACCGGTTGTTCACATATTTGAATCCCACCACTGGGATGAAGGCTCCTGCCATCTGAAACTGTGTACCCTCTAATTGAAAGAGCCAATTTTTAATCCCAGATGTATGCTAATTAAATTTAGAAAAATAGTACATATTGAATATGCTCAGAAATTATTTTTATTTATGGGTATTGTTTAATATGTCCCCTCTATGAATGAATACCAATCTTATGGGTTTCAATTCACAAAAGAATTGCTCAAATATAACCTTCTGTGATCTTGCCCCATAGATGTTGCTGTATATATTATTATTTAACTTTGATGAATTCTCAGTCCATATTCTGCATTAAAGAGGCCTTCCCTAAAATTGTTTCCTTCAGAAGCGGGGATTCTATTTCCCATCTGAAGAGAATTGTAGAAATATTTTTGTCCAATGTTCTTGAGAGTACCAGATTTGGAAGCCCTTTTATAGCAAACCAATCATTATAAATAGGAGGTAATGTTCACAGTAACGGGGCAAAAGATAGGGAGCAGAGGCCCTACCTGGAAATGGGAGGGAGTTACTGATAATTAGCTAAAGATACATTTGGAATTAGGGTGAATTATAAATTTTCTCTAGTTAATTCCTTATATGCTTTAATTTTATGCAGGATATTTTTTTCAAAAACAAGTTTACTTCCTGAAGCCTCTGTTTTATACAGACTTTCTAAAAATATTGAGAATTTGGATCTCAATAAAGATGTCTGACTAGCAAGGGATACAGCTATTTTCCAGGTTCCAAGTGTGGTGTAGCTCCTTTGATGATAGGGCATTATATATTTTTGTTATAATCTGGAAACATTTGCAATTTATTTTGCATAAAAACATTATACTCAATTGAACTTGAGGGAAGTGAAAGTAGAATTTTGTAGTGCCTGAGAAATTCTGAATATAAATATGCAGTACTTCAGAATTTGGCCAAAGGGAAGAGGGTGGGAAAATCATTTTCATAGCAGTAACAATTCTTGAACAGAAACATAATTCAGAAAGCTCCTGATAGTATTGAGATCCAGTATCAGGATTCAGAATTTCATGGAGAAATGATAGTGCTGTCTGGACAGTATTACAGCCTGATACCTGTGCTCATTCAAATCTTGTAATCAGAGTCCAAAAACAGTTACATCATATAATATTTCATTATGTTCATGGATGGTTACTCTTTGCCCAGAAGTATCTCTGAATTACAGATGTTTCTTGGACACAGAATATTTTGCTTTTTTGTCAAATGTCCTGAGCGGCTACCACTTTGCCTTTGGCAAATTTCTATAACTATTGTGCTTCTATACCAATAGGTCAGTTTACATTCCAATTCCAAAGAAAGGCAATGCCAAAGAATGTTCAAACTATCGCACCATTGCACTCATTTCACATGCTAGTAAAGTTATGCTTAAAATCCTACAAGCTAGACTCCAGCAATATGTGGATCGAGAACTACCAGAAGTACAGGCAGGATTTCGAAGAGGCAGAGGAACTAGAAATCAAATTGCCAACATACGCTGGATCATGGAGAAAGCTAGGGAGTTCCAGAAAAACATCTACTTCTGCTTCATTGACTATGCAAAAGCCTTTGATTGTGTGGATCACAACAAATTGTGGCAAGTTCTTAAAGAGATGGGAGTACCAGACCATCTCATTTGTCTCCTGAGAAACCTATATGCGGGTCAAGAAGCAACAGTGAGAACCGAACACGGAACCACTGATTGGTTCAAAATTGGAAAAGGAGTCCGGCAAGGCTGTATACTGTCGCCCTGCCTATTTAACTTATATGCAGAGCACATCATGAGAAAGGCAGGGCTAGATGAATCAAAAGTTGGAATTAAGATTGCCGGGAGAAATATCAACAACCTAAGATATGCAGATGATACCACTCTAATGGCAGAAAGTGAAGAGGAACTAAAGAGCCTCTTGATGCGGGTGAAGAAGGAGAGTGCAAAAGTTGGCTTGAAACTCAACATTAAGAAAACCAAAATCATGGCATCCGGCCCTCTCAATTCCTGGCAAATAGATGGGGAAGAAATGGAGGTAGTGACAGATTTTATTTTTCTGGGCTCAAAGATCACCTCAGATGGGGACTGCAGCCAAGAAATTAAAAGACGCTTGCTCCTGGGGAGGAAAGCTATGGCAAATCTAGACAGCATACTAAAAAGCAGAGACATCACCCTGCCAACAAAAGTGCGTATAGTCCAGGCCATGGTTTTCCCAGTTGCAATGTATGGCTGTGAAAGTTGGACCATAAGAAAGGCTGAGCGCAAAAGAATTGAGGCCTTTGAACTATGGTGCTGGAGAAGACTCCTGCGAGTCCCTTGGACTGCAAGGCGTTCAAACCGGTCAGTCCTAGAAGAGATCAACCCCGACTGCTCTTTAGAAGGCCAGATCCTGAAGTTGAAACTCAAGTACTTTGGCCACCTAATGAGAAGGAAGGATTCACTGGAGAAGAGCCTAATGTTGGGAAAGATTGAGGGCAATAGAAGAAGGGGACGACAGAGAATGAGATGGCTGGATGGAGTCACTGAAGCAGTAGGTGTGAATTTAAATGGACTCCAGAAGATGGTAGAGGACAGGAAGACCTGGAGGAACATTGTCCATGGGGCCGCGACGGGTCGGACACGACTTCGCAATTAACAACAACAACACCAATAGTGCAAATGGTGGAGCTGGCCCTCCCTTGACAAAATCTTCATGAGAAAGGAACTTTATCCTGGCAATAGCAAATAAGAAGCCAATTTAATAGCCCCCTTACTCAATGATGTCCTAGGACTTGCTTTAGGGGTTTCAGAATGACTGATCTGCTTGAACCTCAGCATATCAACCTCATCTACTTACTGAAAAGCTTGATTTCAGCCATTTTCATCTCTTTTATTATGCTCAATAAAACATACCTGAGTGCACCCACATTGGAACATGAAGGAATGGCACCATGGCAATTACTTCACAGAGAAGGCATCCTTCTTCCCAGTCAGCTGTAGATTCTTCGGCCAGGATGTGTTGCTGCTATAAAGACTGAGCCCAAGAGACTTATATGGCAATGTCATCTTCGATCCTGAGGTAAGATCCCTTGAATGTAGGAGACAGGGAAGTATTTTTTTGAACAGAAAGTTAGGAGGCAAACAGAAGAGAGATCCAATTCTTAAGAGACAAAAAGAGTGTGGAAGGATATCTGTCATCGTCACTTAAACAAAATCAAAAACCCTATTGTAAGCCCAGAAGGATAAAACATTTGTTTGATTTATATTCCACCTCTCTTTTAAGAGCTCAAGGTGGCTTCATTTTATTCACACAGCAACTAGCCCATGAGGTAGAGTGGTCTGATTAAATAATACAAGTAGTCCTCTACATGCAACCACAATTAAGCCCAAAATTTAATTGCTGAGAAAGCAATTTCTAAGTGAATTGTGTTTCATTTTGTGACCTTTTTGCCAAAGTTGTTAAGTGAATCATGTGGTCATTAAGCAAAACTGGCTTCCCCCATTGGCTTTCCTTGTCAGAAGTTGCTAAGCTCTCAAATTTTGATCACATAACCATGGGGATGCTGCAACAGTTGTAGGTTTGGAAACTGGTCATGTCACTTTTTTTAGTGCCATTGTAACGTCAGTCATTAAACAAATAGTTGTTGAGGACTACTGTAATCTAATGAATTAATTTGGCTGCGTATCAACTTGAACCTGGGTCTTTCTCAATCTAAGTTTAATACTTTAAACATTATCCTATATTGTTTTTGTAGAAGAAAAATTCTGCCCAAAGCCAGCTGTTCAGGTGCATCCTTGTCCTTGGACTGGCTATTAGTTGTATATAATAGTCTTGCTATTTATGCAGCAATGGAGGGGGAAGAAAGGAAGAATGGGACATTACCTGTCTTCACACAAGGTGAAATTGATTGGCTATTGGGAAAGAGCCAAATGCCCATACCAAGAGTTATGGGAGGGCATGGCAGCCTGACAGTATTCTAGCAGGAAGAGATAGATAACGATCAGTGAGGCTGATAATTTTCATGTGGATTCAGTTACTTTCTTTTTCTTTGTAGGCATGAAGAAATTGTTCTGTATGGAGCCCTAATCTTCAAGCATGCTGAACCCAAAGGCAATTTGGCTCTATGCTACAGGCAGCCCATCAATGGAGGATTGCTGTGCCATCCTATCTACTAGGAATGGGGAAGAGCAAGGGGAAGTGTTGTTGCCACTTTTAGCTACTGTTAACATGCTCTCACCAATGTGCAATATATCTGGGAATGGCTATAACACCCATTACGTTTGGAACATCTCATGTCACCATAGATTATTCTTGGACGTAAAATCTGGACAAAGGCATTCTCAGTAAGAGGAAAAGCAAAGCAAGCTGTATAAGATAGATTAAATATTTAGGGGTATTTGGATAATTTCCCCTTATATTCTAAAAGTTCCACTTTGGTCCTTACACAAAGATTTCTGTTCCTGCATCAGATTCTAGATGTATTCTGTCTTGATAAAGATTACATTCCAGATCCTTTCCTTAATTCTGTAATTATCTGAGATTCTGAATAAAATTGTATATAATGATCATAATCTGTTAAATAACTCTGTTTTAAACATATATGCATTTTCCTCTCCAAATGCAGGCAGAAAAAAGGGAGAAACGTAAGTATGACAACAAGGAAAATATAACTTAGAGAGAGATGAGGGGCAATGTGGGTAATAGTAGGTAAGAAGCAACTCATTTATCTTTGGCTGTAAAAAAATAGCAATTATAGATTAAATAACTTAGAATTTGCTAAATTCCACAGCACCAACGTACACTGCCTGAGATTTCTGCCTTAGTTACTTAATGCTAGGACTGGCCCTGTGCCTTATTCCTGCAAGGTTGGTGTTCTAGATACTGTTAAGACATAAAGGAAGAAATCTGATTTGGAGACTGTATGAACAATGTATATCTTTCATGAACTTAATGATTTTGTGATAACTTCTCTCTGTGTATGCATGACTTGTCATCAACTGTTATCTTAACCTCTTAAATCCTCCTTGGCCAAGTTAGTCCTGTAATTAAGTATTAACTCCTATAGTGCTATCTTCCAGATGGTACTTTACTTTTGAAATAAATGATTGGATGTTACTAATAGATGGATCATTTGCCATTGCATAACCATTTTTTTAGAAAGACAAATGTGTAAATAATTGATGTGGATGGAATATAATATAGTGCTTTTGACTCACACTTGCTCATAACCAGGAAAGAAAGATCATTGACATTTATAGTTTTTATTGATTTGGGCCCAAAAGCTGTTTGAAACATCACAGACCAAACTGGAGAAATGCCACAACAGATTTCACAACCTTCATGTTACTAATTTATTCAGAAACATTGGTTTTTCCTGCCATTACTTCATTTTAAGTTGGCAAGAAACTGACTTAATAGAATATTGCATGTCACAGATATAACTGAATGCAGTCAGATAACTGGGTTGTTGTGGAAAAATAGGAGAAAGGAATATTAGATATTTTTGCCACGTTGAACTGTTTATAAAAATAATAAAGGTGAGATATAAATTAAATAAATTATTGACTGCTAGATAGAGACAAATCTCAATATATATTACTTTAAACATTCAGGGTACTCGGTGATTTTTTTTAAAAGAAATATTTTGATGCTGAAAACAGTTCTAATAGATTATAGAAATTAGTTTAGTGGCAGTAAAGATTGTAGTCATTAGTAATGAGGAAAAGCAGAAATGGGAAGTTATTTTCTATCAATATAAATATGTTGGACTATGATACTGGACAGGATCTGCTTTAAATTGGATGAATAATATAAGCAGCAAAAGGATAATAATTTGAAGCAAAACCAACAATCCTTGCTCAGAATGTAAGTTACAGCACTGCATGCTGATGAATTTTTACACTCCTCATTTATGATAGAAACCAGTCCACATGTAACAATGCCAGAATAAAATGCTGGTAACCCCACTTTGATCAAACTTTCTGGTGTGCTGTAGATCATGGCTAGATGGTCACAGAAAGTGGAATTTATAGTTCAAGCCTTTTTCAAAGCAGTGGAAGTGAGATCATTTTCAGGAGAACTAAGGTAATTTTACTCAAGGAAGTGATAATGTTGTAATAACAAGATCAATTGTGATCATTGTTTGTGAGTAGACAATACAGGGCAGTCAGAGAATGAGGAAAATATTCAAGTAGAGTGAATATTTTTGTATGTACTACAACTCATGAGATTGTTTACATTTCTAATTAAAATAATACATTTTAGCTGTTACAACATGTATTTATGCAGAGAGGAACAGGCAAATACAGTCTTATTGATCACAGTGAGTGTACTGTTGCTCTGTGTGCCCCGAATGTGCTTTTCAAAAGGCAACTGGACTTTCTTAGTTTTTTCTTGAAAACATTTAGCTTCTCATCCAAGAAGCTTCTTCAGTTCATTTCAAGCTTCAACCGAAGAAGCTTCTTGGATGAGAAATAAAGCGTTTTCAAGAAAAAACTAGGAAAGTTGTTTTTTGAAAAACACGTTTGGGGACAACCATGACCTGGATGATTGAGAATCTCCACCGATATATGCTTTGTGGATATTACAGAAGTATTATATAATGAGAGCACTCCAAATTATATCCCTATGTCATTGTGAAGACAGCAATAATTATTCAAGCTTCAGATCTTCCCTCCGAGTATTATTTTAATCCTACAACAGCCTGTCAAAACCGTTGTTTTTGATCAGTAGACAAGCCCAGACAGTGAAGAAAGGAACGAGACTAGACTGTAACACTTCCTGACAGTCAGTGGGAAGTGAGCTTCTAGGATAGAGTGAAGGATTCATATAGGAAAATCATGCATGAAAGAGCATTAAGACATCTTGGACAAAGCTGAAAGAGTTGTTTTTTGCATAAGAAGAGCTTTTATGCAAGGAAAAAGGAACTGATAAAAACCATGGAATAACTCAACGGAAGGGACCACTACAGCAGGAATGTACTTGAGCCATTATGAGGAAATGCTGAAACTTATTATAGGGCACACAAGTTACTTTTCAGGGTTCTGACAGCAACAATAACACCATATAGTAAAGTAGGGGACAGCAAAACTCCAAGAAAACTCATAGGCTACCTCTCACATAAGTAACAGAATGTCTTACAAAATTTAAACAATCAGGACTTAATATGTTAAGGTCCTACAGAAAAAGAATTCTGAATTAATCCACTATAAGATGAAGGCCTCTAGAGTGAATATTATTGATCAATATCTACAATGCTGATCCTCTCTGAGTTGGTAGATAAATGTTTATCAACTTTTCCAGTCTAAGACCTAAACCTAGTCACCTAGGTTGTTTCTAATTTAGGTGGCCTAATTTATTGCAGATAAATAACTGGTAACTGGTAAAAAGTATGGCAGTAAGAGAGGATGAATTGGGCAATTATGGCTTGGAAAGGGTTAGAATGATCATTTAGGCCAGCCCTCTATATAATGCAGACATTGACCTCAACAGAATCTTTGATAGATAGCCAGGGACAGGCCACCACCCAAAGCAGTCTGTTAAAAAACTCATATTGTTAACTCTCCTTCCTTGTAATGTTAACCCACTTTTTTATCCAGTCTTTTGGAACTAAGCAGTGCCCCTGGTCTCTCCATGATAGACTTTCAAGGACTTGAAGAGAACTACCCTGTTTTTCAAGGCAAAACATAACAAATGCATCCTACTATTCCTAATTTTGTTTCTTCCAGGTCCCTTATCATTTTGATAGATCTATTTTTGACCCCCTTCAGTTTACCAACGTTCTTCCTAAAATGCAATACTCAGAACTATATGTTCTATTCTAGGTACAGTCTGACTAATGCAAAACAGAGGAACAAAGACGTCTTTTCATATGGTTTCTTTAATTATAGTATATTGATGTAGGCTAAGATTAAATTTGGTGTTTGTTTTGCAGCTCTATTACACTACTGGTTCATATTCATCTTGTAATCCACCAAGATATCACAATCTTTTTGATGTACTGCTGCCTAATCTGCTTCCTTTATTCTATAATTGTGTCTTTGATTTTTCATCCCATAGGATTTTGCATGTGTCTCTTGAAATTTATGTGCCATACATTGTCTAGAGGTGACTTGCTATTTTCTATCCATTCTTTCAGTTTTCAAAAATTATTCTGAATTAGTTTTCTGAGCTATTTGCTATCTGAGTTATCTTTGTATCTTCTGTAAATTTGATAATTGTATTTTTTTTAATTCTCTGTGCAAATCATTTTAAGCATGTTGAATAGCTCAGGACCTAAAAAGAAGTTTCTCATTCAACACTTTGTTCCAGCTTGATGTCGAGCATCAACATGCTTTTGAGTTATGATTATTGAACCAACTATATATCCATCTAATGATAGCATAGTCCAACTCATATTTTGTCATATATTCTACTAAAATATCAAGGAATATCAAATGCTTTGCTAAATAGGAGGTATACTGTGTGTACTACATACTCTTAATTGGTTTCTGAATCTAAGAGAAATTTAGATTGGTTTGACATAATTTACTCTTGATAAACCCATGTTGCCAGGCAAGGTGTTCTTTTCTAAAGGCTCACATACCAACTGCTTAATAATCTTACTAGTATAGCTTCCTGTAAAATCTAAGACCCTATTTACTGAATAACCTATTCAAGTCATGCCTCTGATGTGTGACGTCTGAGATAGTTTGGACAGAAAATGAATTTTCTAGAATTAGTATTTAGGCTTAAATATGAAATAGAAACTGCTTGGTAGCTCTTGATATTAATAGCGCCTGGCCCAACTACTGAAATGTTAAAAATGTTGAAATCTATAAAATCAATTTCTATTTGTGTCATTTATACATAAGAATTGGCTCAAGTTGTACATGTGACAATCTGAGATAAGAAAGGGTTTGAGGCAGTTTATCTATGTAAGAAGTTTCTATGGGTCTCATCTCACAGCTGTGGAGAGTTTTTTTTATAATTGCAAAAGTTTGTCTATATTTTTTGATTGATTGTTTGCAGTAAACTTTTCATTATGGATTTTGAATGTTTTAAAAAACAGGCGTTGATAATTACTGACAGAGGAAACTACTTTTCTTCCTATCTTTCCAAACTCTCACGGTAAAGTTTAAAGTCTGTTTTCTACCACCACCTAGTGGCTTTCTTGTGAATGCTAAGTTTTATTGTTGACTACAGTATTAGTAGCATATTGGATAGTTGTTGTCTGCCAGCACACAAAACCAAAATGCGACACGTGGTGAACACACACCAGTGGGTTCCGGTCCACCAAAACCGAGAGAAAAAGAGAATAAAACAGCCCAAAGCCCTTTCCTATGGTTTATAAACAAAATGAATGAATTAATATAACATGATAGACAATAGATATTAAGAAACCCAAATGAGCATTGCTTTTGTTGAGAAATTGCTGACATTCCAAATCAATAAAAAATTTCAAAGTTATGGTTGTAATAGCATAAATATGGAAGCACTTGTAAATCTTGATAATGAAAGACTAATTTAAGGGATAATATGTTAATCAATGATTTTTTTTAAAAAAATAAAAAAATTGATTTTTTAAAATTTAAATTGAATTTTTTAAAATTTAAATTTAACTTTTTTATTTTTATCAAATTTATTTTAATAAAATGTTTTTAAAGTAAAAATCTATCTAAATATAGTTTTCTATTTAAGATACATTAATAATTTAGTTTATTCAGCATGAAATGGAACTTAAGTTATGTAGCATGAAGCTGTATATTCTGCAACATTTACATTTTTGGTAAACTCATTCAATGAATCCAAGCTCTGCAAGCTGAGATAACATGCACTGCATTGATGCATTCACACAATTTCACAGTAACCATGAGATAAATCATAAAGGTTCAGGAATGTTCCTTTATCCCATTGTTTTGCAAATCTATGTACACTACAAACTATTTTTTGGAGAGAAATGCATCTGTACCAGGCTTGAAGTGTTTTAATTAAATAAAAGAATTTGAGTAGTTCTCCAACTATGTGTGATTAACCTATTAACCTAAAATCAGTTCTGATATCGCTGTTTTACTAACCTGACAGATTATTCTAAATAGGAAACCTTCATTTTGTTTGCAAATAATATTAAGGATTCTAACTACCAGCAAGAATGAGTCTTTACATTTAAAGAGCACCTGTCATTTCAGATCCATCATGGCAGCGCCTGTTAGCGGGCATCGACTCACTTGCTGCCCGCCATGTCCCTCACCTTGTTGTATCACTGCAGGATCACCAGCTATCCCATTAAAGTGAATGGGACTGTTGGTGAGTCAACAGCGGACCAGAGGAATCACTGCGGGACAGAGATGACAGCTGCTCTTTAAAAATTATGATTTAAATCAAGTGGATTTAAATCAAATCCACCCTGATGCAAAATATACATTAGATTCAAATTAACATTTTCAGAGCCTGTTTCTTTCAATCTGCAGATTGACTTTTTGTTCTTATGCCACAAAAATTACTTTTTTTGTTGTTAGATCAAAATCCAATCACTTCAGTTATTTGTGAACTGAATTTAGCAACACCCTTTCCATATAACATGGTAGAAACTTCACTTAACATGCCAACATTTTTACTACAATTCTCTCTTAATATTTAAAGATTACTATGGGTATCATCTTAACTTCTATTGAAGCATCAGTAGAATACACCAGTGTGTGATCAGCACATAATCACTTTCCCATGTTAGTTTTTAAATCTGTGGCAAACAATGGAAATGTTTTCATAAATGGAATTTTGGTCTTTGTATGACATTAGAATTCATTATACATTTTCTAAATAAAGAAGTGTAATTACTTGACCAAAATTTTAGTTGTGCATTACAACATAAGAACATGTGTCTTCAGGTGCAGCTCTTAATTTTTTTACAGTTCTTCACTAAATGAATATTTAGGAGGCATTTCTATTATGGCAATTAGCTATAATATAGCTATTAATATAGTCTATTAATTCGTGTATAGAATCAGACTTTTTGTACAAAGAAAAACAAATTTTAAAAAATTGTATCAATATACTGTTCAGATTATTTTTATGTGCCAAAAGTTGTTTTCAGCTCCTTGTGACCATATATATTTTCTCTATGAAGATCTATCTGTTTTTTTAAATCTCTCACTGGTACACTCATTGCCACACTTGCTGCTGGTTGTCCTTTTTCCACCTTTCCCAGCACTAAAGTTTTTTTTGTAGAGAGCTGGATCTTTGTATAATGTGTCTGAAGTAAGATAAATTGAGACTGGTCATTTGTGTCATAAGAGAGAACTCTGGGTTGATCTGGTTTGTCTTTTTGGCTGCCAATGGTATTCTTAGGAGTCTTCTCCAACACTGAAGTTCAAATGCATCAATACTTTTCTGATAAACCACCAAGTGGCCTCAAGAGCTCTCAGGGAGTGTGCTAATGACTATATGACTGCAAAAAAAAAAATATATGATCCTTCCAACCCTCTCCCCCTCCCACATCCTCTCAGAACTAATATTTTCATCACCCCCACCATCCTGTCAGAATGGATGAAGCTTCTTGGATGAGAAGTGAAACATCTTGCTCAAGGAAAAAACAGTCCAATTGCCTTTTTAAAAAACCCCTATGAGACTTTTCTGATTGTGTTTCTTCAAAGTCTAAATTTGCTTCCATAATGTGTCATAGGGAATACTGTGGCTTGCATGATTCTTATCTTTGTAAACACAGACACATCACAGCATTTGAAAGTCTTTTCCAGGGCCTTTGTGGTTGCTCTGCTGAATGCTAGACTGCAGCCTATTTCTTGACTGCTTGTTCCTTTACTGTTGACAGTTGATCCTAAAAGTCAGAAGCTAACCACCACTTGGATATCTTCTTTGTCAACTCTAATTTCAATTCTAATTTAATTCTAATAACCTTGACTACAGGATTTAAATTTAGAAAACGTTTTGCCCAGATGACTGTAATTCACATTCATTCTGAATTATCTTATTTACAACGGTTTTTAATGGCAGATACCATATTCCAAAGAAGCTGCTTTACACAAGGCTGTGAGCATAAATGGAGTCATCTAAATCTTTTCTTCTAACCATACCTTTCATTCAATCAGGAGGTCCGCCCCACACCCCGCGCCATAAATGACAGAAAACCCAGGCACTATGATGACATGGTTACTTAAAACCGTTTTTGTGGCTTGCTTCCCCTTCCTGCGCTGCCCACTGGACCCGAAATACTTGCGCAAACTCAAGAGCAATGTAAGAGACGGTTCCTCTCCTGCAACTAAAGCCGCAGCTTTCTATTCCCCCTTCTGTTTTTGTTATTCTGGAGAAAGCTCCTGGAAACGAGGACCTCTTCTGGTTTCAGGGTGCAGAAGGGGCCTGAATTACTTTCCCAAAACCGGGACGTTGCTCTCCAACAGCTACGTGACCCCAAACAAGCAAACCATATTGGGGCTTAGCTATGTTGTTTGACTTCAGTCATAACACGAGAAGCTTGTTTACCTGAATATGAGACAATTTGAAAAATATTAAAAATTCTGCTTAACCCGTAGTAAGTCTTGAATGGTCAACTACCTCCTCATGAAATCATTTTTGATGATTTTAGGAACCTGACTGAAAATACTCTCGTTTCCAGAACGCAACCTGTCATTTAGGTTACTCTCCTATGACTGGATTTCAGCTTTTGAGCAAAAACGCTCCTAAGAAACCTTGATGACCAACGGCTAACTTTGGCACAGGACACAGAGACAAACCGCCTGAATACGCTCAGGCCGCAATCACCGCAGACCGTTCCAGGAACTGTACACTCAGCTTGCCACTACCGTGAGCAAGAAATCCAACTCTTATAGGTTGAGGACCAGAGGCTTTTAGCCAATAGGAGGTGAGCTTTTGCGGGGGACTGTCCGCCGGTGTGACCCTTCACGCACTTCGGATTGGGTCGCTGTCTCTGATTGGCTCACTGCCTCTGATAGGCGGGTACGGCCGCCCCTTTCCCGAAGCTTATGCTGAGGCACAGCCGGATCTCTGTCTTGCTAGGAAGTCCGGGCGGCTGGGAGAGGGGCGAGGTCGAGTGTGGAGGCTCCGCCCCTTCTCCTGATTTGAGATTGGGGTGAGTGTGAAGCGGAGCAGGATCGAGGTGAGGCTTTGGTAGCCGGTAGGTCTCCATGATCTGGTGCAGGAATCTGTGCCTTCCTTGAAGCAAACTTCTCCAACCTTGAACCCTCTAGATGCGATGAATTCCTATAGTTCTCGCCAGCGCAGCAAGGACGTGCTGGATGCGATGCTGGCAGCTGTAATTCAGTGCATCTGGACGGCGTCAGGTGGGAAAAGATGCCATATAGGGAATGTTTGCTTTATCGTATCGGTATACTCTAAGACTTAAGTTGTGGGTTTTTGTGTTTTCCTTCCTGGAAGGATGCTCATGCCGGTGAAGGGGAAATAAGGTTGATGACACAGGGACGAAGAGAATGCAGATGGCTGGATTTCTTTGTATCTGGTAGTTATTAATCACAGATCTGTTCATCTATGAATAAATTGAAAACTTTCTTCATTTTTGGAAAAGGATTTAGAGTCTTTTATGTTATGTATTGAGATGATGAAAGAGAGCATCGGTCATGAGTTTGATGCAATTTTATTCAGGTAATAAGATTGCCCAATTAGACTATAATGTAGAGCAGTGGTTCTCAACCTTTTTAATGCCGTGACCCCCAACCGGTTGTAAGTCGAGGATTACTCAACCGGTCGTAAGTCGAGGACTACTCAACTGGTGCAGCACTGTTTGCAGAATGGGACTTTTGGCGGGCTCAGCAGGGCAGAGACAGCCTGGACAATTCCTATTGGCTTTTGAAAGCCAATAGAATTAGACTCTATTCAAGAGAGTCTATTCTATTGGCTTTCAAAAGCCAATAGAATAAAAGGGAGTAGCACAGCTAAGGAAAAGGGGGGAAAAATGGCGGACTGCGTTGTTTGGCAACCCCCGTGAAATGGTCGTTCGACCCCAAATGGGGTCCCGACCCACAGGTTGAGAACCACTGATGTAGAGTGTGATTTGGTCTATTTTTATTTTTTCTACCAGAGATGCACCTTTCACCTTTTGATAAAGAGCATAGGTTAAGCACTTGTTAGCACTTGTCAGCATATTGGTTAGATGATGATATAGGGAACTATTTTCTTTCTAGTTTTACCCTCTGTGTAATGGATATTTATGAAGATATATTTTCTTCATAAAGAAATGATAAATTAATAAATGTAAATATGATTTTATGCTTTTTTGTTTGCAATGGACTTTCCACTGAATTCTCATGCAACCTCTTCATGCAATATCCATTTGTTCATTATTGTCTGAATGGGAAATATAATTTTCTATGGCCTTACAACTATGCAGGCCATGGATAAAATGGCAATTTATGTTTCACTTCAATGGTACAGCAATGAAATACCTTGCTGGTTTATATGATTATTTGGTCATTCATTTTTGTGTTTACAATCTCCACTATTTAACAGGCTTTGAATTTCAGGTTTTAATAGATAATGTTACGTTTCAAAACACTATTATTTCAAAAATCATCTTTGTTCACCTTAATTTTTCCTTCAGGAAAATAAATAAAAAAATAAATTAAATCACAAATGCATATTTATAGTATGCAGGTATCAGAACGTGATGGTGGAGTGTCCACAGGGAATGGATTAGACAGTGCCACAGCATCTGATGCCCAACAAGTTTCGCCCTCTCACTTTAAGCCTCCTTCCTTGGACCTCTTTAATCTGGTAGTATCTTATAAGCAACTAGAGCTGTACCTGGAACCACTGCAGGATGTTGCTGAAGGAGTGTGGTTCCTCCTCAGGTTGGTGCTTTTCTATATAGCTACTTTTTCAGGTCATAGTTCAGCAAAATCTATGCCTGTTGTCATTCTTGAGAATAGATGAATAAATTCTTTTTGTAAAGTTTGCTTTTTCTGGCCTAAACATTTAAATTAAAGGATGTACAACATCTTATGGTCATTACGTTTTTTTTGTCCAGGTGTTAGTTCATTTCATTTTAAGACCATAGAAAGAGGCTTTGTTAGTCCATAAAAAGGCTCATCTAACTTAGCATTCTTTCCCATACCAGTCTGCACTTTTTTAGGATCATCGTTGGTGTGATTCTGAGATTGCATGTAGCTCCTATACCTCCTTTTCTTAGCTCTTAGGGTCCTTTTCACGTTGCTTTTAAACTATGATGAAACAGTTGCTGGTAATCAACTCCTGCCATACTGATGTTGGAAACATAAGGGATTTTTAAGATAGGGTGTTATGTAGGTTTCACATACTTTAAAAAAGAATTTTGAATTGGTTGAAATCCCAGGAAAAAATATATGATTCTAGATCCTTTCTAATTTTTTATGTAGCCTTCTTTATTCACATTTCCTCAGTACTCTTCCTAATTAATAACTAGTAAATAGCATCTTTTTGAGATTGTAAATGTTTGATTTCTTCCACTCCACAGCTGGCAGATGCCCTTCTGCTCTCTCCTTACTTGTTTGGGAGTCAACTTTCTGCTGCTTACTCTGAGTGAAGGTGAGAAGTGTTGGATGTATATGCTGGGGACCTGTTTTCCCAGAAGTCATGAGACTGGATTGAGTTAATGGGAGGAGAGTAGAATATGATTTTGTTCAGAAAACATTTATGATGACTGGCGGAAGCTTGTCATCATGTATAGTGGGAAAATTGCACTGACAGCTGGTAGAGAAACTTTCTTTGATGAGGCAGTATATTGGGGGAACAATAAAACCACTGCTGATTAGATAAGCTGTGGGTGGCTTAATAAACTCTGCATCTATTCCATCTTGCATTGTAGCTGCTTGGTATGGGCTGTGTGCCCTGCTAATCTCAGTGCCTGCCATGCTCGGCTATCTACAGGAAACATGCCGTATCCGTCTTACTGAAGAGCAGCTGGCACGCCGTAGATATCACAGTGTGCGGCGAGAAGATGTGAGAAAAGTTCAGCTTTCTCGAAATGAGGCTGTGGCTGAAGTTAAAGGATTGTAAGTCTGCTTGGGAGAGAGGGGGTGGGCTCTTGGGCATTGTTTGAGCATGGAATTGAAGGGCTTTTGCGTGATATCAGTTGCTTCTTGAGCTAATAAGGCTGGAGAGGGGAATGTTTTGTACTGGCTTGAATTCCTGGAAGAAAGGCAGAAAAAAAATCTTACTAGGAAATTCTATAGGTTGAGTTCACTATAATTTTAATTTTTAATTTTTTTAATGCTTTTTGAGGAGTTGCAAATCTAGGAGGTCATGCATTGGGTTTGTTTGTGACAGTGCGACCTCATCTAGTATCAAATATAGCAAAATCTAGCTACTCAGTCTTGCCAAGGTTTAGTCAAGAGTCTGTTGTTCCCCATCCAGGCCTGCACAGCCCCCAGGCACTGGGGTAACTGGGATAAGGCATCAACAACATCACTGAATTCCTCATGGGCAGAGATATATAACTGGGTATCATCAACATAATGATGATGGTTCACCATTTGGTGACAGGATCTCACAGATGTTAAATAGGGCACTGAAACTCGTAGCATCACATGAGGAAGAGGTTAAGATCATTCACTTCCAATCAACACAACTGAAAGCAACCATGAAGAAAGGAGGAGAGCCACCAAAATACAGTGTTGCCCATTCCCAATCCCTGGAGGGTATCCAGAAGGGTGCCATATATTGAAAACCACTGAGAGGTCAAGTACAGCAAGGAGGGATGCAAAGCCCCCATCCTGCTTTCACCAGAGATTATCTAAAAGTGTGACCAATACCATTTCCATCCCATACTCAGGCTCCTCAAAAATGGCTGCATGGCTACCTTCTCTACCACCTTTCCCCACAAGGGGAGGTTAGAGATCAACAGAAACTGTCCAGTATAGTGGGATCTAGTGATGGCTTTTTGAGGAGAGGGTGAACAAGCACCTGCCAAAGAGGTGGGGGAACAGCCTTCTCACTCAAGGAAGAATTAATCACATTATGAACTGCCTAATATGTGTATATTTGTATTTATTGTGGGAGGCAGAGTAGGGAAGACACATTGGTGGTCTACCCTCCAATCTACCCCTTATTCCAATAAATGCACTCTTTTAGTGGCACAATTTAGAGGTCAACAACTGCATGTGCATCAAACTTGAGAGGTTATTAATTGATTGGCTGGCTGGTTTATATGCTATTCCAGTCTTCCAAGAGTTTGGGAAGGGACTGTGTTTGAAGAAAACAGATATGATATCACAAATGCCACATGACTTGCTGTATGTCCCACACTTTACTGTTTGTGATATGATGTAAACAAGAATTGTGCAATATTGAATATAACCCAATAATGATGCACGTGTGGAGAATTTCTCTCTTAAGAAACATTGGAAGATCATTACATGTTTACTTACACTGCCGCTTTGAGGATTCCCCCCCTCCCCATAGATTAGCTGTTTGTAAAAAGCATTACATCATTTCACCCGCTGGAGATATTATATATCATTACTTTAAGTCTGTAACTCTATATTGGACGGAGAGTTATTGGGAATATAATTTCATTGTCCACTTCACAAAAGTATGCAATGATAGTCTAGAATAATGGATTGATTTCAGTCACTAAAGAAGAAGAGACATTTTTAAATCATTGCTTTTAATAAATATTTGATATGTTTACAACTGTATATAGCAATTACTGTAGATTTAGCATAACAGTTGACTATCATATGATTGTATGATCATATGATTATTAGAGATTTTAGCTTTTATCTTGTCTTCTTTCTTGAGATTGTTCATACCATCTTTTAATGATCCTTATTTTCACTCCCCCTCCCAAGTATATAGTATAAGATGTGCTGGATCAGAATAAGACCATCTTGCCCAATGTTGCATTCCCATAATGATTGGGAAGAAATTCATAATTAGGATAGGAGAGCAGTAGAGGTAATTCATAGTCATGATGGCTAACAGAGGTTGGCAAGGGTACATGCTTTTGCCGGTGCAGTTGGTCAGGACATTTCTTAGATAAGGAACTAATTTGGCCAGGTTCCAGCATTATCACCTTGCCAAATATATAATTTGTGCTATGAAAACAATAAAAATGCATTTTAAGTACTTTGCATGGAATATTTTATTTATGCACCTTCTCTAAATACCAACTGCCCTTTTACCTTTTATAATGGTAAAACTTATGTTTGACAATTTTGTGTTTTTCTTTGAATAGAGTGTCTTTAGGTACATATGTTATTCATGTTAAAATAGTGTATACACTTATTTACAAGTATCTAAATGATTTACCTTTGGGTAGGCATGTATAGAATGGAATTGTTAGCCTCAAAAAGGTTCTGCAAAGTTGCTTGCCATTGTTACTTCTAAGGAATTTCTGCTTATAGCAGATGCTTGTTCAGGATTGCCTAATAAAGTGTCATGGTTCAGCAGGGATTCAGCAATCTGGGTCTCCCATATTGTAATGGATCATGCTGACTCTCAGCTAGTCTGGGAAACTGATACAGTTGCTTTTTCGCCTTCATCTCTGACTGCCAATCTAGGGCTAGCTGGCATAAGAAGCTCCTGCAGGTCTCCCCCAATTCATGCTGGGTGAGCTTAGCATGTCATAATTGATATTTTACTCTCCCAATTACTAATCCAGTGTTACAAATTTGGATAAAAGTTCTCCACACATAAATAATCTGCAACCTTCTGCATCCGGTTTTCACTGGCATGTGCAATATATTCATCCCCATCCAGTAGGTCATGAGATAAAGTCTTATGACAGCACATTTTTCTTTCCTGTTACAACACATGCCTTGTTTCATAGCATCTAGCTTCGGAGCATGTGCAAAAGTAGGAGAAACATGATACCTAGGCATGCTAAATGCACATGTGGCAAAAGTATGTATTAACTTATCCCATCTTTGAGTTACAAAAGCATTAATTTTTTCTGGAATGCTTGGAACTTGTGCTTTAAAAAAATCAGACTTATTAGAGCTGACTAAATTTAAATTTTGGTGGCAACCTTAATCCTAGCGTCTTCTATGTGTGGGCAAGGGGTCTGCTTTTCAACTGTTGCTGCTTTCTATGATTACCCTGGAATAAAGGGCTGGGGAAAGCTTTTTCTGTGAGCCTAGGTTGTTGAAATCTCCATATTGCAGTCACTGTCTGGCTGTGAGCTAGACAGCACAGTTATATTTATAATTGTTGAACTTTCTTTTCAGCTTGATCCGATTAGAAGCCCTCCTGAACAGGCTCTGTGGTGGCTGTGAAGCAGCTTACCGCGTCTTCTTCTGGGAGAACCGTACTGTCTCTTCCCAGTAAGTATTGGCGTAGGTCCTTAGGACAACGGTGAGCAACCCTTTCAGCTCAGAACAAGCTGTACATTTTTTGCTTTGGCCTCCACCCTGACATAAGTTGCTTTAAGTTGATTTTCCTTGAGTTTTCTTTTTCTCCAGTCTAATAAATCATCTTGCAGTTCACCAAATTGTCGTTTAGCCATTGAAGCATTGAGGAAGAAAGGGTTGGGAGCTCTTCATGAAAACTGATACATCACCGCTGGTCTTGCTTTTCTTAGAAGTTGGATATAGACTCAGGCAAATTAGAATATACACGTGATTGGATATAACCGGATAGAACATTTCATTGCATTGGATATAATACATCATGTGCCTGCTGAGATCTGCAAGGCCGTTAAGGCATCATTGTGAGGTAATAGGCCAGGACTATAGAGACAAAGAGGCAGTGTTTCATGAACATAGCTTACTTCCAAAAAATTACTTCTGCTTTCCTGGAGCTCTGCTCACCTCCCAGGATCTTTTCGTAGCTTTTTGGCACTCTTTGACATTCAAAACGTTCTCAAGTATATAAGTTCACCTATTCCCTTCCATCCCAGACACTAGGGGCTTTTTATGTTCTTTCTACACACAAAAAGGCCAGATTTTTAAAAAATGATACAGCTGTATTTAGCTAATAAATAAGTCTGATTAAACTGACAATTAAACTAGTAACTCCCCAAATTGGCAGTTGATGGCAATAATTTAAAAATCAAGTTCATTTATGTAAAAAAGCTCAAAGACAAGTTACAAATATGATCTAAATTCGGCATTATATAAAACAGTTTAATAAATAAAATATTTAATAAATATTACTTAAGGTAATCCTTGACTTACAACTGGTTGTGTAATGACCATTTGGAGCTATGACAGCCTCACAAAGTGTGCTTTATAATTCATAAAGAACTTCCGGTCCTCATAAAATGTCACACTGCCCCCCCAACAGGGTCAAATGACAGCATTTCATGCGCTTGGCAACTGGCTCACATTTACAACTGCAAATTCTGCAGTCACATGGCTGTGATTTATAACGTTTTTTGCCAGTTCCCACCGTTTTCTAATTTCCTGCAAAAAATACCTATTTGGGGGAATGGATTTGGACTTAATGACTGTGTTTTGCTTAACAACCATCTAATTGCTTGACAACTATCATAAAAATGGTTGTAAAATCAGATTTGTTCATGTGGTTGCCTCTATTTCATGGTTTATGACCAAAATTCTGGTTCCTATTATGGTTGTAAGTCAACACACAATTAAAACATTAAAACATACAAAAAATATATCTAACCTTGTTTTTTATAACCATAGTTAAAAATCTAGCTGTTACCACTCACTCATCCACATACAAATTTCCTTTGCCTATGTTTATTTCATTAAACATGTGTAAATATATGTATTTTACTAAAACGTCTGAAACCAAGAGTGAGAAAAAAACAACAGAAGAGGGGGAAAGTGGCTCCAAAAATGCATCAGAATTTTAGACGAGAACAATATTGTTAAAAGAAATTAAATTTTAAATAGTTTATTAGTGTGCTAATTCAAAGGAGAGGGAAAGTTAGTACTGCAGAACTAGTATGTCCCCTGGATGCAACAAGATCAAGGAAAACAGATGAAAGCAATGCAAAGAGAAGTATTTGTAAATGAGGAAGTTGCCCTGTTTGACACTCCACAGCTGAGCCAATGTTTTTGTTTTCCATGGGAAGTTGTATTTGAGTTAGGGAGCTTTTAACTTGTCCCCCCCCCTATTTCTCAGTTACTAGTACCTAAGTGTCATCCTGATGTTCAGGTATCTTATGTGTCTTCTGCTCCATTTTTCTCCTCTACTCCCTAGGTTTTATGGGATGCTGATGGGCTCAGTTTGTGCCCTTTACCTGCTGCCCCTCTGCTGGATCTTTGTTCTTCTTAATAGTGCCCTTTTCTTTCGAAATGTGGCATTTTATCAAGGTAAATTATCAAACTATTATAACAAGCACCTATTATATAAAGGCAGCCTTTGACTTGGAAGCTTCATCTAGTCCAAAGTGCAGTGGTTTGTCAGCTAACTGGGCACAGTTGATTTAACAGCATAACATCTGGATTGGATTGCTGCACTGGCTGCCAGTTGGTGTCCATGTCTAATTGAAAGTAGTGGCTGTTATCTTTGAAACCCCATATGGCTCAGCCCAGTGGTGGGATTCAAATATGTGAACAACCGGTTCTCTGTGTGGATACCACTTCCAGAAGTCCATTCTGAGCCTGGGTAACAAAAAATTAGCTACCATTTCTGCTGAAGTGGTGCAAACCGGCTGAATCCCACCACTGGCTCAGCCCCCAGATTCATTTAAGAGAAGGATACTGAGAATTCTCATCCCATGCCCTTTTAGAATATTTTCCCCCCGTACAAATGGCCTTCATGGTAGCCAAGTTAGGTGACCAGTGTCTTGTAGATCAATGCTACTTTATTATAAAGCTATAGCAACAGAATTTTGCAAGTCTGGATATGCTCTCCCCCAACTTTTCCTTTATCTTTGTGAGAACTGGCGGGGGAGGAGCTATTTAAGATGTTTACTCATGTAACTTTTTTGCTCCAGACTCATAACTTTATTTGGTTGTTGCCTTGATGGTGGTTCTTCCTCCAGTCCCTCAAAGCTATTTCCTCTGCCCTCTACAGCCTGAACTTCCTGGATTTTAGGAAGACCTTAAAAACATTTTTATTATGTATAGCATTTGGGTGCTGGTGATGGTCCTGGGCTGTTCTGGTCAGGATTGTTGAGGATTTTTTTTTGGGTAATTTCATTACAAAGCACTGAGTCCTTTGGGAAATGGGGCTATCTGTAAATGATTATATAATTAAAATGTAACAAATAAATCATTTCACCCATGAACTTCTCTTTGCATTGAAACTTTGGTAGAGAAAATTGGAGAAGCTTGCTGAAAATGACTTTCAAGGTGGATACCTTTTTTGCTAGATACTTGTGCGAGGCAAGGAATTCATTTTATCAAATTCTGTAGCTGATTCTTAATGTAAGTGGGACTAATAAAACATTTTAGGTCAGGGACTGGGGGAAGAAAGAGCAAGAATCGTTTACCCTTTTTTGCTTCCTCAGGCCCATGTTACATCCTTTGGTGCTCATATCAGCCAGGTGGCCATGCCATTTCCTGCAGTGTAACTCTGATAATGCTGGAAGCCTCATCGTTGCAAGACCTTCTACTTGAAGAAGTTCAGTTTGCAGTTTCATATGGAACACACTAACAGAGAACAAGGAGTAGGATAAATGAGCTTTTGAGTCTTAATAGAAATGGGAGTGCAATGATCTGCGGATATTTAATAGACCTATGAAATGCACTACTCATCTGACTAATTTTAAGAAGGAGCTTTTCAGAGCTTAGCAATTTCATTGAAACCCACTTCTAATTGCTCTCCTCTTGTTGAGATGTTTTTTTTTGCACTTGTCAGAATCATAGATTGCTACAGTAATGCTGGACTAAAATTTGGAGAGGGTTTTTGTGACATTTGCTTGGGAAGGCAGCGATTATTGTATCTTTCACACAGTTGAAAATTGAGACTTGTGACAGATTTCAGTGGTGTGTAACTTACGTACCTTTTCACTGATGGGCTACTAAAAGGATACCCGTCTTCAGAAAGACAGCCCTGTGTCGTGAGTCGTATTGAGAACGTGATGCTGTCTGCAACATTCCAGTTGCATTTCTTTGTATTACTTGATACAGTAGGTTTTCAGATCCCTTTTTGGCCCGTGATCGACAGAAAGCCCTGTTGGGTGCTTTGTCCCATAACATTTAGGGAAGCTAACCTCCTCCCAGAAATATTTCTTTCCTCACTTTACAAAGCTAGCAGAGTTCTTAGGCCAATGTTCTGAGGTGATGAATAGTCCACCAAAAATCTGGGAGAAATGAATTTAGACCTCTTATTGGTTGGTAGCAGGAAATCAGTATGCAGGAAAATAAACCTTGACTGAATGGCATTAAGGTGTTCAGGTTTTGTGTTGGAAGTGCATTCTGGAGAATGCATTCGTAGCCGTATTTGGCTCTTTTGGTTTATTATATTTTTCTATGTGGTAGCAGACAGTGAAATGGTCAGTAAGGACCCAGATCATTAGACCATAATGTGGTTACTTCATTCTAAACATAGACTGGATTCACACATCACTTTCAGTCTTGCTTTGTTTTATCCATGGTTTCTTCAACAAATCATAGTAACTTGGGTTATATATAACAGAAATAATATTTTTTACATAATACAGTAGTTGGGCAGCATGTGAGTTCATCTTTTATGATTAACTCAGACAGTGGTTGCTCTTCTTCCTGTACTTGATTTCTTGGCATTTGGACTGGTGATGGGAGTGAATGACCTGCTGCTCTGCCAGGGTCAAAAGCTTGAACTGGTCTGTTGGGAAATTCTCCTGAGCTTCTGGAGGTTGTCTAGACCAGTGGTTCTTAACCTTTTTGAATGAATCGCCCCCTTGAGCCAATGAGGAAGTTGTCATCGCCCCCCTCTCAATCACAACATAGGAAATAATTCTTCAATTTATGCAAACACGTCTTTTGTTTTCTTTAAAATTGTCATCTGGACATATCGATGCAAATAATTTATTTCCAGTCTTTTTCCCATATCTCAACTGTGTGAAAAATTTTGGTGCCACCCGTCACTTTATTCCCAAACTTTCCTTTGGAAAGCCAGCTTACTTCACTGTACGAAAAAGTCTCCAAAGTGTCCCCAAAACTTCTCGCTCCATTGCCCCCATATCGCCCCCTTTTTGTTCCTTCGCCCCCATGTCGCCCCTTTTGTTCCAACGCCCCCCTGAAAAATGAAATCGCCCCCTGGGGGGCGATATCACCCAGGTTAAGAACCACTGGTCTAGACATTTCTTTTTTTCTGTTCCCAGTAATGCTGGACATAAAGTCAGCTGCAGAGCAGCGCTTGGGCTTCAAATCCATCCCTGTGGCTCCAGAGCCTGAAGAGCTGGATCTTGGAGAAGTGGAAGCTACTGTCTTGCCAGACTGGACACCTACCCTGACTGGGACTGAGGTAAGACTTGGTGGAAAGAGCAAAGCAGAGAAATAATTAAATCTGTACTTTCTAAAATCTCCTTCATAAGATTTTATCTATCCTGCCATAAAAATCTGGTGACCTAAGGACTGCCTATAGGATTAGTCTTCTGGGCGAGTTGCCATCTTTTTCTTTCCTTCTCCTTTCTGGACTTTTTAAGTCCCTGCTGATTATGGGGCGGAAGCAATGCTGGTTTACATGTAATGAGTTGTTGATTTCTCTGTTCTGCTATATTTTTTCATCTCAGTCCTGTTACTTTACTAATTTTCTAAGTTTATTCCTGAACTCCTGCTCCTTAAACAATAACTTAAAACTATTTTTATAGGACCTAACTCCTGGTAGTGTGGAGGAAGCAGAGGAAGCAGAACCTGATGATGAATTCAAGGATGCAATTGAGGTCTGTGGTTTGAGGATCTAGATTGGTCTGTCATGAGAAAAATAAATCAGTTTATCCCTACCCAATGCTCTCCAGAAATTTTGGACTTTAACTCCAAGTTCTTGGCCATGTTGTATGTGAATTGTGGACATTAAAGTCCAATATCTCTAGAGAATACCAGGTTGGGGAAGACTGGAATAAGGAAATATTGATAACCCAGTGGATTAAACATGACATTTGGACCAGGGTATTAGGTGAGCCCTATTGGTTGGTTTGTTGATGCTTTTCATTGATTAAGATGGAATTATCTATTTGAGCCCTTGGCACATATTAATTGATTGTTGTTGAAATTTCTTTTTCAAATTAATTTGTGATTCTTTGTAACTTTGGTTTTAATTTCTCATTAATTGGCTACAAAAAGTGCTAAAATAAATAAATTCACCCTTCTTGTTCTCAGGTTAGTGAGAGGTTCAAGTTAGGTCAAGTTCTTTAACTATAATGTAAAATACTTCTTTATATGTGCAAGAAAGAAAAGGGACCTTTAAATAATATGCTGTCCTGTAAATAGAAAGGGATAGATTTAAAGACATGATACTTGTATTGGGCTGTACTGTTTTCTGTCTTTTGGCCATGTTCTCTTGTCTTTTGTCTTTGCTGCAAGAACAGGAGACTCAGCTGCTTGTAATGGTGAGTGCAAGAACTGGGCTGCTCGGTCCTGAGCGTGAATTCCCCTTTTGTTTTATTGTTTGTGAATCCTAACATCTTAAGAATCATTCTATGCAATTTTTTTCTGGATCATATCCCATTTCCTTATCCACTCTTCCAAGTTTAAGGATTACAGTCACCGGGTCCAGAAGTTTAGTCTTCTGAGCTTTTGGACTTGTGCTGGAGCCTATCCTCAGAGAATGTCTCTTTCACAAGGTATGTGAGAAAGTTCTGGTGAGAGAGAAGTTCTTTGAGGATGGGCTCCAGCACAAGTCCAAAAGCTTAGAAAACTAAACTTCTAGTCCCGGTGGCTGACCCAGATTGGATCCTGCAATATTACCGTGGGACACATATATTTGCCTTTACTCGTTTGAGCATTACCTTTAAAGTTTTTGTGCCGTCCCATCCTTTCTCCAGGCTTGGTCCAGCATTTCCTAGAGCAGTGATGGCGAACCTTTTAGAGACTGAGTGCCCAAACTGCTACCCAAAACCCACTTATGCATCGTTGGATGCCGGGTGGGTGTGGCTCATTGGGTGGGTGTGGCCCATTGGGTGGGCGTGGCTGCAGTGGTAACGGCAGACTGGGTGGGACTAAAAAGTTCAATCAATCAATTCCAACTTTGCAAGATCTTTTTTTTTCCCGTGAGAAGTTGAAATTGACTGATTGAACCTTTTTTTTTTTTTTTGCACATAGCGGCAGAGGCCAAAAGCGAAAAGATTTTATAAAACCCAGCTGAAGGCCTAGGACTGGGGTGATGGCGCACGTGCCCACAGAGAGGGCTCTGAGTGCCACCTCTGGCACCCGTGCCATAGGTTCGCCACCACTGTCCTAGAGTTTGGAACTGTTCTTCTGGATTGTATTTTCCAGGAGGTCCTTATCTTTATGCCTTAGAGCATTTCCCACACAAGATGTATACTGCATTCCTCATAACCTCTCTTTCTGTCTACCGTAGGAGGAAGATGACATCTCTCAGGGCTCAGGAGAGTTTGAGCTTGGCCTTCCTGACAACTCCTTTATGAGCAAGAATGAAGTGATCCGTAGCAAGGTGTCACGGTTGACAGAACGACTGCGCAAACGCTACCCGACCAACAACCTTGGTACTGGACTGAAAGGGGAAGTGATTGAAGGTTATTCGTAGAGGTGCATATTGTTGGGAATGAAGCAGGATTATTCAAGAGTATTGGCAGAAGAGGAGGCTTGATCCAAAAACTACTGCAGAGGAAATTAGCACTGAGTAATTTTACATGGGTCATGACAGAAAAAAAAAAACCCCATCCTGACCACAACTATGTATACAAAAATATCAGGGCCAAGAAAAAGTAATCTTCAGTGTTTTTTGGTGTAGGGGTGGGCAACCTTTTATTGGCCAGGAATCACATATGCCTCTTCCTGGTTTCATTGGTTCCCAACGTCCACAAGAAAATATTTTTAGTTTTTACCTGCTTTCAAGTATGTGTGCAGTTATGTTTTAAAATAAAAAGTTACTTTAACTCTCTTTTTAATTCATCAGTTTCCACTGCATCCAAACTTAATCTTTTCTATGTTCACCTGCTTTACTAGTCATTTCTTATAAAAAAAAAGTTGTACCACTAAATTTCACCAACATTATACTATATATTGCGGCGTATAAGACGACCCGGCATATAAGACGACCCCCGTCTTCGGCACCGAGTCGCATGCCTAGAAAGTCGTCTTATACGTCAGAAACTACCGTAATTTCCGGCGTATAGGACGACTCGGCGTAGAAGACGACCCTCGACTTTGGTGCCGATTTTACCGCTTGCGAAAGTCGTCTTATACGCTGGAAAATACAGTATTAGAAACTTGGGGTACAAAAAGGCTGGGCACTGGGTCCAAAAATGTGTGGATGTCAGATAATGGAGTCAGGATGTAAAATTGATTTTTAAAATCAAACATGATTTTAAATTAATTTAAAATTAATGATAATTAATTATATTTAATTGATTTATACTTAATTGTCTTCTGAGAAAGCACTTTGACCAGAATCATTCAGTAAGATGAGAATTTTCTACCAATCTTCCTCTATTTCATCTGTTAAGATCTGTTGCCCTCTATGTCTTTGGTTCCTCCTGAGTGTTTTAAGGTTTGAGTGGGGGGGGGGGTATTTAACCAATGCTAATTTCCATGTATATGTAAAATTTTTACATTTCCACACCCGGTTCAAGGTTTCAGGTTGAAGAATAGAGCTTATTTATTCAAAGTGTTTTGTTTTTGTTTTTGCTGAATCCAAATTTTGTCATATTCAGATTCTTGCATAGGATTCTCATTCTAAATTTCCTGGTACAAACTGACTCCGGACTAGTCTGGTTGAATGTGAACTAGACTTGATTTTTGTGAGGTATGTGTGAATCCAGTCACCAATGGCATGATGGAACTGTGGATGAACAAAGACTTTATTCAGTGGTTGGAAAAAGAAAGGAAGGCCCGGATTTTGATTTAGTTTACTAAAAGAAGAAAAGCAATTATTAGATGTGATAGTTACTTGTATCCTTCTGCTCTGTTGCAGGAAACTGTGCAAGTTGTTCTGCCACTTTCTCTGTCTTGAAGAAGAGGGTGAGTCTTTTCTCCAGCCCATCAACTCCCTGCCTGGCCTGTTCCATTTGCTTCTCTACCTGCTTCATCATCTTTTTGTGGATCCCAGACTGAACTCTGCAGCCTGCTCACTCACCCATCTTCTTGCGTCTTTTCCTTCTTTAGCGAAGCTGCAGTAACTGTGGGAACAGTTTTTGCTCCAGGTGCTGTTCTTTCAAAATTCCCAAGAGCTACATGGGGGCTACAGGTAAGTGAATACCCCCCCCAAAAGAGAGAGAGAGAAAGAGAGAGAGAGAGAGAGAGAGAGAGAGAGAGAGAGAGAGAGAGAGAGAGAGAGAGAGAGAGAGAGAGAGAGAGAGAGAGAGAGAGAGAGAGAGATGGGACAGAAGGGAGAATCGTTTAGGTAAAAGTCCTGTGAGTGGGTATTTTCCTTTCCCATTGGAGGTCAGGGGAAATCGAGACCTGCTATAGTGGGAGATAATAGATGTTCTGAAGATGTGACATGTCTGAAAAGGTGTAAAGGTAGTCCTTGACTTACGACCACAATGGAGCCTAAAATTTCTATTGCTAAGCAAGACAGTTGTTACGTGAATTTTGACCCATTTTACAACCTTTATTGCCACAATTGTTAATGTGAATCACTGCAGTTGTTCATTGTCAAGCAACTGAATTTGGATTGTGTGACCATAGGGGTGCTGCAACAGCCGTAAGTGTGAAAAACGGTCATAAGTCACTTTTTTCCCAGCGCCATTGTAACTTTGAATGGTCATTAAATAAACTGTTGTAAGTCGAGGACTACCTGTAGTGAGTGGGAAGCTGCATGAGCTTTGGTTAGTCCTGAAATTCTGATTGGTGTTTCTGATTGCAGCCCCAGATGCCCAGCGGGAGACTGTCTTCGTATGTGGGCAGTGTAACCAAGCACTCACCAAGTGAGGAGCCCTTATGGAATCCAGTCTTTGGATGAATCTGCTGTGGATCTTACACTACACTAGTTGCTACTTGAAGGGAGACAAGCAACAGCACTGCTTCTTTTCTTCCTCCCTATACTTGTAAAAAAAAGGGAGGGCCAGCACATGTAACCTGCTGACTGCTCTGTCTGCTCCTGCTCTCTTTCTTGAAAGCAACAGAGGAGGTTATTGCAATCCCGGTTGTGTGGAGGATTCTTCATGCACTAAACTACTGTAGGCTTCCTTCCCTTCTCCCAATTCCAAGAGCAAACATTATTTCATTTCTAGTCTGTGGCCCCAATTTTTTTCTGGAGCTTGGCTGACAGGAGGGTTGGCTGTCCTCATTTTTGAAAGCTCACTCTTGGCACTTGAATTCCTCAAACCTCTCAAAGGGTTTACTATTGCTGAGGTGCCATCCCTTTCTTTCTGTGTGTTTGTGTGTTCTGAACTGAAGGCTGGGTCTTGTGTTCAGATGATGGTTATAGTTGGCTCTGAGAGCAGGCTTTGTAGGGCCAAGAAGACCAATTGTGGTTGTCCAATGGTGAGGTGGCTGGATCTACTTTTTCTGCCTGTCTCAGGTGGGGATAGTGTTTCTCTTTTTCCACTTCCATGCCACTGACTTTGTGTTGCTAGTTTTTATCTAAATCTCCCTATCATGGTCAGACTAGGGCAGGGGTAGGCAACCTTGGCTCTTTTATGACTCGTGGACTTCAACTCCTAAAATTCCTGAGCCAGCGAAGAAGGCCAGGGATGTAGATGACTTGACCGCTCAAGCCGAAGCAGGATGAAATCTGCGAATTTTCAAATTTCTTGCACTCTGCTTTGAGCGCTTCTGCCATGTCCCCTGGAATAGTGGAATTAGAAAATAGAGAGTTTAATGATTCGTCTATCAGGGGAACGTCCAACAAGGATGCGAAGGAGGGAGCCACACTGAATAAGAGTTCTCTCTGAGACCCCCGGAGTGAAGAGAGATCCCAGCTTCGCCCACTGCTTCTGCACCGTATTGTGGAAGAAGGGGGGACAGGGAATATGCTTCTGCATTACCGCCGGCTCAGGAATTCTGGGAATTGAAGTCCACGAGTCATAAAAGAGCCAAGGTTGCCTACCCCTGGACTAGGGTCTGGAAAATGTGTGCTTTTCATCCCTGCATTGTTAAAAGGCAGAAGCTGCTGTGGTTAACTGGGGGTTTTGCTAATAGCAAAGCCTAGCTGAAAGTCAGGGAGTTTTCTCAGGAGGTAGATCACTTCTACAGAAGTGGAACATTATTGGATTATTGCAGAGTAATATATATCCTACCAATAAACAGTATCCTTGGGTATGAAGGCAACATTTTCAGAGTCTGAAGTAATTTTTATTGCTATGAGGACTAGAGGGTCTCTGCTATGGATAAATATTTCTGGAAGAAGAGCATCATTAGGCAGATAGAACAATGGAACATAGGATGCATGGTACGGAATAAGAAAATGGGAGTGGTTCTTTGGGACAATACAGGATATGGTGGTTTCTGCAAAACAGATATATTGTGTCTATAATGTGCTGAGACATGTGGGATAAGAAATGGAGCTTAATATATGTAATCCTAAATGCCAAAAGGAAATGGTTTCTGTGGAGCTGAGAGTATCTTGGACAATACCTTTGAGACTCAACCATGGTGAAATATTGGGTATGCCTGATGGGAATGTAACTGAGAATGTCTTTTGCTTTGGGGACATTAGGAACCTAAATACAAAGCTTGGCTGGAAACAGATTTAGAACACTATGCTTTTGACTTAATAGATAAACTAAATCTCCCATTTCAGATTGTAGACAGTTGTATATATCATCAAAGGCATTTGGTTTTCCAGGGCTAAAAATATTTTCCAGGACTAGATAGATTCTTGCTTTAAGATGTGAAGTGATAGTTTATAAATCTTCAGGCACCCCCAACATTTTTGAGTTGCTTGTTTCATTTGAGGAAAGTGTTGTGGATGCTCACAAAATGATTGTTGGGGTGGAGAAAGGATTTTCCACTGACAGAATGGCTGCTATTCTTTGCTCCAGTCTATTAGAATACTAACCCCCCCCCATTTTTCCAAGCACCCATGAAGTACAGCAATGTTTCCCAAACTTGACAATTTTAAGACATGTGGACTTCAACTCCCAGAATTCCACAGCCAGCAATGCTGGCTGTGGAATTCTGGGAGTTGAAGTCCACATGCCTTAAAATTGTCAAGTTTGGGAAACACTGAAGTACAGTATCAAAGATGATGCTGAAAGTTGGCAATTTTCTTTATAATGCCAGCTTTCCAACTGTTGTAATGCATTATTTTTTAGTATGTAATGTGTGGTGAAAGCAGGAGCCTAGTAGCTTCTTTGAGAGGAGTCTCTGTGCAGAGATGGGAGGTCCCATGAGAAACACGGCTTATAAATTAGATAAAAGATAAAACTTCTTGTTTACTTCCTGCTGTTTTTTAAAATAACAAAAACAGTAGCGACTTTGGTGTCTGTAAAACATCAGTCATGTCTGATTCACGGCCACTCTATGTAAAACACATTTTTGTGTAATATTCTCACCAATAACACTTTCAATTAGGCTTCAAAGTTGTTAATTCATAGAAGCGGTAAATAGATCTGTTCATCCCATCTGCCTATAAGCATTTAAAAACTAGTCAGCTGCTGGGGAAAGTTCTATGCAAGTAACAATACAGCAGTAACAATATATTACTTCAGATTTTGTACACCACTCATGCAGTGTTTCTAATAATTTCCTGTATGACTGGGGGAGTATGATTTTGTTAAAACTTGACCAAATGAGGAATTCCTGTCCCCCTCTCCAAACTGCACATACACAATTGCATGGGATAGATCAATTTACTCTATCCTGATAGTTGTTGCCAAATCCTCTTGCTAAGATAATGTAAAGCTTTTATCACTGTATTTATTAGCCTAACCCATTTTATTGGAAATACAAGGAAACAGTGCTGCTAGTGCTGCTGCTGCTGCTGTCGGCCACCCCGCAGAGTCAGAGGACTTGCAGAGAAACTAATAATGCTGGGTGCTGAACGGGTCAGGGGTTGGGTCAGGACTGTTATAAAGTGAGACCCTGAGGTCTTAGCCAGCCCTAGGGCATTTTATGTGTGGCTTAATAACTTTTCTACATTAAAATTTGTATCATTTTGTTTTATGACTTTCAAGTTAAAAACTTAAAGGATCATTTGGAAAGTAAATTAGTTTGATGAAGCCTGTAGTTCTCCCTTGAATTCAAAAATATTCATTCTTGGTAGAGTTGCAAAAAAAAATAAGAGTAACTGCAAATGATTTTTTCCTAGGAAGTATTTAAGCAAAGATGGGTCTCACATTGGCAGATCTATAGATGTAAGCCCTAAAATGATATAGAGGAACTATAAATCAAAAGATACAATTCATGGGAATGCTCAGATTTCACTGACTGAAAATTCTGTTTCCTGATGGCCAGTTTTACACTTATTCTTCAGGATAATGTTGGTGGAGTTTGTGAGAAAAACATGTAGAATGTTTTTTCTACAACTGTTCTTTGGAGAGGGTGAACTCTAACCTTTTAAATGTGTTTGGATTGCATTAAGTTTGAGAGCAGAAGAAGAGGTTTTGTTGATAAGAATAGATTAAGGTTCTATCATGAAAGTAATTTAGGAGGCTGTTTTGAAGAAGGATGAGACAAAAGTAGCAATTGATATGGAAAGTTGAACAAATGGAATCCAAGAGCTGGTCAATTCCCTTGTGTCAGCAAAACATTTATGCTTCCAACTTTCAAAACTGCATTTGTGTATGTGTTTGAGATGATTTTATGAGGAAAAGACTTGATCTATGTCTGTAGTTGTGAAGCTTAATTGGAGACATTTCTTTTGTCAGTTTTTAACAATATTTTCATTTTATTTAATTAGCAAATAGATACCTTCTTGCAAGGAAAAATACAGATTACATTAGAAGTAATTAAACTTGGAGATTTAGGAACGAAAAGTTCTCATTACTGCAAAATATTGTATCTTTAGTGGCAGTCCCACAGATTTTGGCACAACATAAGGTCTGGGATAAATGGAGGATGGGGAATTGAAACTAAGCCACCAATACTGTTGATTCTGTTCCTTGTAAGGCCATCATATAACCCCAAAGAAAAATATTTTTTAGGGGGGAAAAAAGTAAAAGAGACATAGATGGATAGCAAATTACAATTCAGACTCATGGAGAGTGTATGAGAAAATATTCAGGGCCTGTGTGACATAGTGCTCTTTTCCTACACAACTGATTCTTAAGAGACAATTTTCAAAGTATTACTTTTTTCAAATTCTATCTTGTGCAAATCACCTACCTTTCAGCTTTTTTCCTTCCCTCTCCTCCCCACCCGCCACCGTTTTTTGTTCTAAAACTTCAGAAGTGTCCATATTTTTACCTATGTAAATTCACCTGTTATAAATATTTAAAAGAGTTGTGGCAACAATGATGGCAGAAGCAATCTTGATATCCACAGTGTGGGTGTCATGTAAGACAGCTTGCTGTAGTGGTTAAGGCACCATGCTAGAAACCAGGAGATTATGAGTTCTAATCCCACTTTAGGCATGTGGCTTTGGACCAAGTCACTCTGGCCCAACCTGCCTTATAGAACTGTTATGGGAAAATAGAAGAAACGAATATTATATATATTTGCCACCCTGAAAATAATAAAGGTGGGATAAAAATAAAAATAAATTAAATATGTAAATAAAATAAAATTAAGTATGTCAATTTTGCAAACTTTCACAACTTAAAGTTCACATTTCTTAGAGTTGCCAGGTTGAGATATACTGTTGTAGAGAATCTGAAAAAGCTTTTATCCAGGTTGGAAAAGATATTTCTTCTCATCCACTCTCTTGCTAGTTTTGGCTAGCAATAAGTCCCTATGAAACATGAATTTGTATGCAAGCAGGATTATTCCTTTCCATTTACTTAGGCAGTTCTTCTGTCCTCCAGCCATGCTAATGCTATATATGCATTAGTGTGCCCAGCTGTAGGAGACAAGGAAAGTAACTCCACCTTGTTATCCTCTTGGAGGTCTGGCATCCTGCATGATGGACAGCCACCTGAAAGGCCTGCTTGGTTTGGCATCCTTCCTTGAAGGCAAACACAGGAGTACTGATACTTTGATACATTGCCAGCCTCCAGAATGATATTAGAAATAGTTTTAAAACATATCCAGCAACTTTGCCTTAAAATATGCCTACATGTTTCAGAATAGAGCTGCTAACGGCAGAGATGTAATGTAAGTAAAATTATGGGTAAAGAATCCCTTTTGCTCAAAAGTATTGACTGCCCTTTAGCATCATCTCAAAAAATTGCTCAATCTTTGCTTGAAATTCTATTTGGTTTGGAAAGAAACTAGAAGGGAAAGTTGGGTTGGAGTTGAGAAAGGCCAAAATTTGGTCAGGCCCAATAGAGTCCTAGTTTCAGCAACATGTATTTCTTCAAGCACATGAGAATACGATGATCTGCCATACTTGGAACCTGATTCCTGCACTATTGTTAAAAAATAATGTATTAAGTCGCTTTAAAGTAAGTTTAAAAGGATGTATAAATGAATGGTTCATTAAACATGGATTTCCTGCTCTTAATCTGTATGCATTTTAAGACTTTTTATTAGAATGAAATGAAAATGGAGGAATTTATTTCAAATGTTCCACTTTAATTATGTTTCCATTAAAATACTGAGCAATTCAGATGAAAAGAGGATACACTGAGTGTGATGATGTCATTGCTCAAAGCCACAAAGATTTTTCTTATTTGGCAGGTGATGGTATACTGAGGATAAGGAGGAATTTCTGTAAGATCTCTTACAGACGTCAGATGACTATCAACAATGCACAGACTCTTAAAAATATTTTAACTAAATCCAATTTTCCTATGGAAAACAGACTCCTTGGAAAGATGGACTCCAACAGCTTGTATCTTGATGTCAGCCTACCCATAGAAAAAGGATATTTTTGAATGGGGGGCATTCAATGGGGGTCTGATCCATAAAAGAATGAATAGTGCAAGGAGCATGGATAAGAGAACATGAACTTAACGGCAAATTTCATTTCTTTGTTCTTCTTCTCCCAACGGTAAATGGCCAAGACTAGCAGTCTTCCACCCACTTTTCGACCCATAACCAGAAAGCTGCCACTGAGGTCATCAAGCTGAGGGCAAGGACACGTGCCTGCATTCTTCATATACAGTACCAGCTTTTTGGTGTCCTTGCGTTTCAGTGGCCCCACTTTGAGCACTTTTTTTTTCTTTTGAGTGGCCACTAATCGCCTCTCCCCATTTTCCTTTTTGATTTCCTTGATGTGCATCTTCACCACTGTGGAAGAGAGTATAGATAAAAAATTGCATTAAGGAATTACAACTTAACAACTGAAGTCACTGAAGGGAGAACTAGAGAAGTAGATAGAATTGTAAGTATACAAATTATGGAGTTGATGAGTATTGTTCCTTTACTTTTAAGTTTCAAAACTGACCTTTAAAATGCTGGCAGAGGAAGACAAAAGATAGTAGATGTCTGACAAGTTGAAGCTGCATGACTAAATGGGAGATTTACTCATCCTTTATCACATTTTTCTACTGGCTACTTTTTTTTGCACATGATAGATGCCTATTTGTTTTAAGGCCTAGCTACCAGATTTTTAGCTATGTCACATTGGTCATCTCTGAAGTCCATTATTGTTTCAGTAGTGAGAGCATCTGGGAAAGGTACAGATCATCCAATTTTTTTTTACAGTCTGAATTCAGGGGCTATATGGATTGTTAAAATAAGTTATGGAGCACAGCAGCACTGATTGTACATATAGCATTATGGGAATTACTGCAGTCATATTCATATACCGCTGGTTTCATCTTTTGATTTTTCTATGTGAGGGAAATTCTTTGGGTGACTTGGCACAAATTATTTCTAACAGAATACTACCTATGAATAGACCTTCCAAAAGTAACAAGAACTGGATCATCTAAATTGAACAAGCAAATCTGTATTTGGTTATGTGGGAGAAAATGTGCTACCTTGGGAAGTGCTTGTTACCATATACAATCTGCAAATAAAGGAAGGTCAGGTATTGATTTATGACAATTTTTGGGGAAAACCCTGGGAAAATTTAAGGGAATGTTATAAATTGTGTTTTTGAAGTGAAATATAAAAAAAAAAGTTACTTCAGGTTTGGGCGGGAAAAAGAAACGTGCTCATCCTTGAATCAAATAGAGTAGAATTCAGGATTGACAACCTTAATGTGATAACAGAATACCCCGCAAGCCCATCTCCACTTCCACCTGTGGTAGTAAACTGCTTTCCCTTCATGGCACAATTGCCTTCACAAAGCAGATGTCTTAGTCTGAGTAGATCTAGGTTCTCTGAGGGTGTGAAAATGTACTTGAAATGTGTTCTGCATTGGAGTAAACAAGCTGGTACCATCTTGCTCCTATACAGTAGTTCCTTGATAAGAAAAAAATCTAGTATCTTTAACAGCTATTTTCAGTCTTCTGTTTCCCTATATTGATTATTCTAAATATCTGGTTTATCTCATTCTTTGAAAGGACTGAATTTACAATAACTACATAAATATTTTATTATGATTATTTTTAAAATGTATATCCTGGCTCTTCTACAAGGACTATTCAAGGCAGCAAATAAATGATATAAACTTTTAAAATGGAGAACTACAAAAGAAATTTAAAAAATAAATAAAAAGTACTGGAAATACTAATAATTATAGGGGATGAATAGAGCACTTTTCATTATTATTAGCGCCTGGAGATTGTCTTAAAAAACAAATTCTATGATCAGGCTGTTATTAAAGCTTTTGTTTTTCAAATGTGAGAATATTCAAAGGTGTTGGAAGATATAAATCAGGCAGATCTAAATGATAATGCTGCTTAGAAATGTGAGAAAATATCCTAATTCAATCCATTAAGAGATGAGATGGGTTCAAACAAGACTTTTTTCTGCAGTCAAAATTAAGGGGTTCTGTGAGTCAAAAATCATATTGATTTGATTCCAGAAACAATCTGGAAGCTGCTGAAGGATCTGATTGAAAATAGGTGTAGTTCAAGCAGGGAAAGGGAAGTAAGAATAACAAATATATGCCATATTCCCAACAGCTGCTCATCCCAGATCCCTGCTGCTACTTTGTGTGTGTGATTTACCAAAGTCACTTGAACACATCTGCTCCATGATGCCATCTGCTTTGTGTTCTATCTCGCACTGGGTGCAAATCCTTGACACTGTAAAATGGAAAAAATGAATACGAGGTCAGAAAAACTGGACATACTTAGCATTCTGCCATGTATATTCGCAATTGATTTCAAGTGATGATGTTGATGTCCTAATTACTTTGCCTTGTTATGAACTTTTTAATTGTCACAAAATATCCTGAACAAACAAAAATACAGAATTCAGTTCATCCAGATAGAAACTTCTTACTGAAGAGAGTGGGGATAAGAATACATTTTAGGGAAACGTTTTCCCCCCATATAGCTATTCCTGTATTTTGTTCCCACTTTCTTTTACTATGCAGACATTTTTGTTCCAGTTGATTTCCATTTATTTTTCCTAGCTTTTGAATTAAAAGTCTTGACAATAAAAGGAGTATGTTTAAAGGATATTAGGAAAATCAAAATACATTGTCTCTAAAGGAACTTCATAAATAAGGAATTTTTTTTTAAAAAAAATCAAAGCCTTTGACTTCTTTGGGGGGAAAAAGCCTCAAGTAAAAGCTAAATAATATAGAACTGCTATCAATATAAATAATTTTTTGAAGGGTTAGCTATTAGAAGGTAAAATACTGATCAAAAAACTTTCTCAAATCAGTGCTTACCTATATATGCAAGGAATAAACTCCAAACATCTTAGATGTTGGCTACTGGATAATGGGAGCTATAGACCTTCACCCAACCTATAGCTAAAGATTATATGCGATATTCAACACTTTGGATGCATCCCTCTCGAAAACAATCTAGCTACTGAATTGTATTTTGCATTGTATTTTTAACATAATGTTAAAATGGGGATGCTTAAATAAAGAAAAATATAATTAAAGTTGGACCCGTGCTGTGAGACTGAATTAAAAATATATTCCAGATACATAAAATACATTGCAAGGTAAAGGTAAAGTTTCCCCTGCCAATTGTGTCTGACTCCAGGGCACAGTGCTCATTTCTATTTCTTGGCCAAGGGAGCCAAGTGTTGTCCCCAAAGACAAATACATTGCATGGGAATGTTATTTCTTTAGCTTTTTTGTTATTCTTGTTTCTTGGATTCAGCATCAAGCACCAAATATGACTTGCTTTACAAGCAGGCAGGCAAAAATTCTTGCTAGCAAAGACCTCTTCAGTCTGCCAAACATTATAGTAATTAATCAAGTTATTGACTAAAAATGATAATAAGGACAAAATAAAAGCAGAAGATCTGCATTGCCCTTTTGAAGCAATGCAGAGAGAAACCCCATGAGAAGACATTATTAGCTGTTCCTAAATATCAAATGGGGTGGAAGTCAGTAGAGATTACCCCCAAATACATTTCATAGTAAGCATGTTCCCATGATAAATTTTTGATTTGGGCCAAATTCCCCCTGCACTGGCAGCACTCATAGCTCAGTCATACTAGGAATAGTGGCTTTGTGGAATTCTTCATGCTCTGTGAAAGTCTATCTAATCTGCAAGACAGATTAGTGCTGAT